GTCATCCTGCCTACTTCACATTTATCCCCAAACTTCTTTTTCACATGTCCTTCAATGTTTATGGTGTCTTTTATTTTTTTTATTTTTTTCTTTCCTGTTTTTTTTCTCAATTACATGTAAAATTTGTTTACATTTTTTTAAAGTTTTAAGTTCAAATTCTCTCACTCCCGCCTTCTCTTCCCAAGCAGTTTGATATAGATTATACATGTGCAGTCATATAAAATATATTTCCATATTAGCCATGTTACAAAAGAAAACATAGACAAAAAAACCCAAGAAAAATAAAGTTAAAAAAAAGTGTGCTTCAGTCTGCATTGCATTAATTTGTTCTCTGGAGGTGGATAGCATTTTTCATTATAAGTCCTTCAGGAATTGTCTTAGATCATTCATGTTGATCATTGTATGATATTGCTATAACTATGTATGATGTTCTACTGCTTTTGTTCACTTCACTTTACATCAGTTTATGTAGGTCTTTCCAGGTTTATCTGAAACCATCCTACTCATCATTTTTTTATAGCACAATAGTATTCCATCACAATCATATACTACAACTGATTCAGCCATTCCCCAATTGATGGGTATTCCCTCAATTTCCAATTCTTTGCCACTATGAAAAGAGTTGCTATAAATATTTTGGGACATATAGGTCCTTTTCTTTTTCCTTTTCGTTTTTCTTTGATCTCTTTGGGGTACAGATCTAGTAGTGATATTGCGGAATCAAAGGGTATGCACAGTACCCTTTGGGCATAGTTCCAAACTGCTCTCCAGAATGGTTGGATCAGTTCACAACTTTATCAACAGTCATTAGTGTCTATGGTTCTTCTTAGCAAGATATCGTTTGTCTGTTTATCTCTTTTAATTGGGTCTATTTTTGCTTTTCCTTTGTCTGAGATCATGATTGCTACCCATGCTTTTTTTTTTTACTTCAGCTGAAACGTAATAGATTCTGTTCCAGTTCCTATTTTAATTCTCTGTGTGTCTCTGTTTTAAGTGTTTCTTGTAAACAACATATTGTTGCATTCAAGTTTCTAATTCATTCTGTTATCTGCCTTCATTTTATGGGTGAGTTCATTCCATTCACATTCATAGTTATGATTACTGTGTATTTCCCTCTATCCTATTTTCTTCTCTTTGTCCTCCTCTCTTTCTTTTTACTCTGTCCCTCCTTAAAAGTCTATTTTGTTTCTGAGACTGCTTCCATTAATCTGCTCTCCTTTTTATCACCCTTCTCTTTTCTCTTATCACCTTCTCTTCCTACTTCCCCGCTGAGTAAACTTGATTGCTATACCCAGTTGAGTGTGTCTATGTGTATGTGTATGTGTGTATATATATTTTATCCTTCTTTAAGAAATTTAACTGAATGTGTTTTTCCATTTTCCTGAAGGGGGCTGATTGATTCTTCTATATGGATTCCCACATGGTGCTAGATTTTAAAAGGGGAAATGGAAAAGAGTACCAAAGACAGATGTCATCCTGCCTACTTCACATTTATCCCCAAACTTCTTTTTCACATGCACATTGAACACATCTATTGTCTTCTACCATTTCCTAGCTGTAGAAAATGGAAGCAAGAAAAACTGCCTACAGTCTATTAATTAATTCCAAAACCTAACAACCACATTGGAAGGGTTTGTGTGTGTGAGTGTATATGTGTATGGGTGTGTATAGAAGAACCCTGGAACAATATTTACCTAGGAATCTCCCCATCGAACTAATAGGAGGCCTGTGGGCTCATGATAGTTTGTGGTTATTTGCTAGATAAGCACTCAGAGAAGGCTTGGAAGTGGCAGCTGATGCAGTTCATAATACGCAGGTTCTTAATTAGAAATTATTGTTGTTGTGTTTTTAAATTAGCACAAATTTGGTTAAAAGGGCTGTGGGGCATGGATTTTGGTCATACAGGAGACAGTGTGACCTTAAGTGCAGTGATGTAGGAGTGCCTAGTCTGCCCCTACCCCTCACAAGGTTTCATGGACAAGAGTCTTATGAGAGACACACCATGGCAATGGTTGGGTTGGCTGAGGACAGTGTGGGTGGCAGTGGCAGTCCTTGTATACACAGCTACGAAAAGAAAATGTACCCGCAGAGTTTGACACCCTAGAACACAGTCCTGTTTGCTCCATGCTAATTATAGCTCTGTCCGTTGAAATCGTCGGTTTGGGGCTCTCAGGTAGTGACTAGTGTTCTCCTTTCTGTTCTGTACAGGTTTACTTTCTGAGCTGTTAGTGAGTGAGGGTTTGGTCCCATGTGCCATTCTTGTACTCTGAGAAGGTGGAGGCTTAAACATGTGAAAACAAAGGGTTGGTGTTTTTTTTCCCTCTCCCTTTAAATACTTTCTTTCTAGAATAGGCTAAGGATGGTGTGGTGGTGGCAGAGGCTAAATGATTTTGTATTAGATGCAAATGAGAAAGCCCTTATTTCTACTTTCTGATTTGTCTTTGTTTGAAATTACTTGGAGGGAACAAAGCACATTCACCAGATCTCTAAGTCTTTACAGAAATAAGGAGCTGTACAATGAACCCTCAACCAGAAATTGGACTTGCTGTTCTTCTTCCTTGAATGGCAAGAATAACTGAGCATTATCATTAAAAGAGAGTGGCAGCATGGAATAGGAGTTAGGGCACTAGCCTCAGAACCAAGTCCTGGAGTCTCATAGGCCTCTGACTCATACTGGTTATGCACTCCTGGTCAAGTCACATCAGAACCTGCTCTCCTCTCTATGCCAAGTGATTCCCAGATCCCTGTCTCCAGTCCTGCTCTCTCTCTGGGAACTTGGACTGAATCCCTGGGCTCCCTGGCTTTGATAGGTGAGCTTTCATAACGCTTTTCTCATATGTCCCCTTTTGTCCACCCACATAGCCACCAGCCTGGTGTGGGCCCTCATCCCCTGTTCCTTGGATTATTGCAGTAGCCTTCTGGTTGGTCTCCGTTGTCTCAGGTCTTCCCCATTCCAGCCCATCCTCTACTTAGCTGCCAGATGATCTCCTAAAGCAAAGGTCCAGTCATATCACCATTGCCCCAACTGCCCTTCCAACTTCTCCAGTGGCTACCTACAGGACAAATATACAATGTTCTGATTGGCATGTAAAGGTTTTCACAACCTGGCCACTTCCTTTCCAATCTTTGCAGACTTTTCTCCCCTTTCAGTAGTCGATAGACCCCCTATGCTGGCCTTCTTTCCTATCCCTCCCCAGACTGTGCAATGGCACTGGCTGCCTTCCCTATACCTGGAATGCTCCACCATCCCCCTTCTGCCTCTCAGCTTCTCTGGCTTCCTTTAAGACTCAGCTCATATTGCATCTTCTGCCAGAGGCATTTCCTCACCCCCACCTCCTTACCTTCTAGTCCTCTCCCTATGACATTACTTTCCATTTACGTTGTATAGGTCATATAGATACGTAGTTAATTGCGTGTTTTCTCTCTTATTAGAATGTATATTTCTCAACTTGAGAGCAGGGAATGTTTTTGCCTTTCTTTATATCCCAAGTGCTTAGCGTACTGCCTGGCACCAATATTTCATTTTATTTTTTTTAAAGCAAATAGAGTTGTGTAGCAAGTGCTTAATAAATGCTCATTAACTGAATAGGCACCTCTAAAGCCATATGTTGCACAGAAGGTGCCAGTGTCCATTAATAGGGAATATCCTTACTTGAGATTTCCCTGTACAGATGAAATCCCAAGTTCAATCTACATCCCATGTGTTTCCCTCAAAGAGAAACCCAGAGTATCTTATCTGTAGATGTGATGTTGAAAATGAGCCTAAGGAAAGCTCAGAGATGAGCAGTGCCAATTGCCAGACTGCGATGAACTATGCCAGTATCTGGCATTAAGGAAGGAATATGCAAAACCTTGAAAAGCCACCAGGGATCATTTCACTTTGAAAATGCTTTAATAAGTGTTGACAACACTGTTTTGCAAAATGTAAAGGTACTATACAAATTCTTAATACAAAAAGAATAAATTAAAAGCAGATTTTTCTTTTTAGATTCTGCAACTTTTTCTACAACATACATCTTTTAAAATTGATTACAGTCAAACAGAACCCAGTAAAATCATTTTACATGCTCTATGGTCAGTTTCAGGAGCAACCTAATCTTCCCCTCATTTTTTAAACTAGAGTCCATTTTACACAACTTGTAATAAAACTATTGACATTAATGTATATGTAAAACTTTACACCTAGTTAACTAAGCAGTAACTGGTCATCTGATAGCACCTGGATGGAGTTTGCTATATTTTGAACTAAACTAATACTGAATGAAAACAAAATGGATTTTTTTCTTTAACATTTTCAACACTCAACTGCATATAATAGACTTTTAAAAAAATCAACCTGCCTCACAATATAGTCTGGTGTCTCTGTCAACACCAGTTTTCTGGCTAAACAGGAAATTTCATACATGTATCCAAAGAACACAATAGTGGCTTTAGATCAGACCAGGGGCTTAATATTTCATTTTATTTTTTAAAACAAATATGGTTGTATAAGAAGTCTGCAAGTGCTTGTATACAATAGCTATAATGTCTCCCATCATAAGATGTTTAAACATGTTAATCTCAAATTACTAACGTTTTATGTACATTTGTATTAATTGAATGCAGCTAAACAGTAAAACCTGTTTTACTTAATCTCCTGTCTCTACTACCAGACTGGCACGAAATTTGCCTGGTAATCCCCTTACTTGTCTCTCTTCCCTTCCTTCTTCCAAAAAAATCCCAAATTGGTTTTGAGGAATACATTTTTCCCCTCATCCCTTTTGTGGCAACACAACCAGACTAAAATCTAGCTTACCTTTTGATTCTTGACGCTGTCCACCTTAGAGTCTACAGTTTTCAGAGGTGGGGAACCGCTGCCTCGAGGCCACATGTGGCCCTCTAGGTCCTTGGGTGCAGCCTGTTGACTGAGTCCAAGTTTCACAGCACAAATCCTTTTATTGAGGGGATTTGTTTTGTGAAGTTTGGATTCAGTCAAACGGCCCCATGTGAGGACCTTGAGGGCCACATGTGGCCCTGAGGCCGCAGGTTCCCCACCCCTGGTAGACTAACAGTTGTATAAAAGTAGTGTAGATAGTTGTCTCCTCATTCCCCTTGTCCTCTTTTTTGTCCCATAGTGCCTCATTCCCAACCAGCTCCATATACAATTTCTGTTCAGTCTGCTTTTAGCCCTGAATTATTTTTTAGGGGGGGAGGATTAAAATGTTCATAAAAATAATTAAACTTAACAGGTGGATAAAAATATTTGGTAACATAAAAACTGACCAGCATTTACATTGAACTGCATATCTCCAAACAATCTGTAAATACAAATTCTTTTCTGCCAACTGATTTTCCTGATCTCATCATCGAGATGAGAAGGAAATGACACACACAGCACACTACACAAGTGTTTGAGGAATTGCCCAGACCCTCATCTGTCCTCCCAGGCCCAGGTTCTGACTTCTCCCCACTGCTCCACTAGACCTTACTGCCTGAGCTATAATAAGTGTTCCGTGATAAATTGTTTTCTTTCAAGTTTTAGTATTTTGGTTCTTACCCTCCTGGTCTGGTAGAGTCTATTGTTATTCTTGGATCACACACACATATAAACAAAGGATTATCCATTTTTTAAATTTTTTTTTTATTTTTTAAAAAGTTTTATTCTAAAGCTAACTTCAGTTTTGCTTTTCCACAAAATACTCCCAATCCCATTCCCCCCTCCCTCTCCCCCCACCCCCTTCGCCCCCCTGGCTGTTGAATGCCTTTCCAATAGAAACTCGTTATCTGCACAGAACAAGTGGAAAAACATCTTCTGCTCCCTCACCTTCCCAACCCCACTTGTGACAATAAACCCAGCCCAGCACCTCTGTGAAAACCTTGTTTGTGCCGGCTTAAATAACCCAGTGGAGCTTGTGCACTTGTTCAGTAATATAAAAGTACTTTTGAGGCCTTTGAAGATTGATGGCTTTCTAGACAGGTAAAAAGCATTGCTCATAATACATGTAAACTTGCAGCCCCTTTAAATCCCCCCCCTTTTTTCCCCCCTTCATCCATTTTGGGCATCTACAGCTAAATCTATGCATCAAGGTTATTGATAATGTTTTTGGTGTTATTGTCCCTTGGGGAGGTAATTTTTTCAAAAAAAAGCTCTGCCATGCCTGCTGGCTAGGAGACGTCCTACTAAAAATCTTACAACTTAAGAGCATAGTTGTATTCTTTAAATAAGTGACACATTAAGTAACTAACTGGGTGCTGAGAGCTTTGAGATCTGAGCCCTTTGTTACACAAGCACTAAACAAACATGAAAAGACCTACAACAATTAAACGCTAATGTAGCTTTACCACTTGGATGGATCACAATGTGCTTTTAACCCTTGGTTTGCCACAAAAAAATGAAACACCTCGTGCATAAAAGAGGATGTGATTTTATGGGTTGTTTCCATGATAGACTGCTTGACCACAACTATGAACAGAAAGCAACTACCTGTCTTGTACCCTGCTTGTTCAGCCAGGATGAACAGTACTTGGA